TACCACATCTGCTTTATCTAGTCATCTGTTGATGGGCACTAGGTTGCTTCCATATCTTGGCTATTGTAAATAATGCTGCTATGAACATCGGGGTGCTTGTATCTTTTAGAATTAGTGTTTTTGTTTTTTTCTGGTATATACCCAGGAGTGGAATTGCTGGGTCATATGGTTGTTCTATTTTTAGGTATTTGAGAAACTTCCATACTATTTCCACAGTGGCTGCACCATTCCCACCAACAGTGTAGGAGGGTTCCCTTTTCTCCACATCCTCACCAACATTTGTTATTTGTGTTCTTTTTGATGATAGTCATTTAGACTCCATTTTAAACTATAATGTAATGGAGGAAAATGTACATCTTCGGGTCAGTGAAGAAAAATGTTTATTGAATGCCAATTCTTTTTTTCCCAATTCTTGTTTCATATATTGCCCCCAAGATCCCTTTTCTCAAGGAAGTAAATTCTAGTGGAAGGAGACAGTGAACAAATAAAACAAAAGTTCAACTTGTGATCAGTTCCACAAAGTAAATAAAAATGATGATATATGGAAACTAGAGTTAAGAGTTTTAGATAAACCACAGGAAAAGTCATGTCTAGGTTAGAAGAATAACTGTGTGTTATTAAGGTATCAAAGAATATCTTCTGTAGGGAGAATGATGAATCACTTTTGCTGGATAACTTCACCAGGCATTCTCTTCTATAAATATGGGGAGACTGAACCAGAATGTGCAGTCGTAGACATTCTTGTGAGAAGTGACACACCCAAACGGGCAAAAATCCTGTTCAGGCACAATTCTTTAAGGGGTATGCTTGCTCGGTCTCCTCAACCTGGCCAGCCTAGTAACAGCAAGTGCCAATTTGGGTCACTTGGATGTTGTACCACTTTTTAACAATAAATGCCTAAAAACATTCTCTAAACACTGGACTTCATAAAGAAAAAAGGAGGATTAGCTGGCCCTACATGCTGGAATGAGCTGTATACATTCATTGAAGAGATGACAAGCATCGATACGTGTAACAAATTACAAGTGTCATAATGAGTATGAGTATAATGTGACTTGGAATCCACCCACCAAAGCTTGTAGTTCAAGGTCCCAGAAGTGGTCAGGGAGGGATTTCCCTTATTCTTTAAGGCTTCATTTTTCCCTTCGGGGTGTTTTTGCAGCATCTTTACCTTGTCCCTTTCTACCTTCAATACTGTCCAGAGACCAGATGATCGTGCATTTGTCTGGGTCCTCACAGGCAGGAACCATGCCCTCCTTCCCAGCAGTACCTTGCAGAGGTGGCCACATTCTGGAGTTGGAGGCTACGTGATGAGATGAGGGAGGCTGACTCAGCAAAGCCTCTGTGCTTTTGGCAGAACTGCTGACCCAAAGGGACATGAGTGTCTTGAGGGTAATCAGTATGGACCAGTTGACTTTAAGAATTTCACTTATCCTATGTGTCCTTATGCCTCTAACTTATGTACAGCCCCAGGATCTTTGGAGAGCAGCAAAAAGGACTAAGATTGAATTGCCCTCTAGTCCAACAGGAACAGAAATTATTTTAAGTGAAAGAAAATAAAATGCTTCAATAGGTCTTGCACGCTAAGGTTTCTAGGCTGAGTCATACAAGCTATGCTACTTACAGAGATTTCACCCTCTCTGCAATTGCTCAGTTATCCTTGAGGCGCGGAAACAATACGCAGACTCCCTCAGCTAGAACTTGCGGCTCTAGTGATTCCTATGACATTGCACAAACCAAGACTGCATAGGTGCTGCCCCCTTGAAGGCCAAGGCAGATTCTGGAATTCTTTCTGCTTGCCAGTGCTCTTTAGTGAATGCTCAGCCCCAAATCCCAGCCTGGACTGGGAGAATTTTATGGTGAAGATCAGACTTTTTTTTAAGTGTTTGGTAACTAAGAGACCATGATCTCATGCATCACGAAGAAAAACACAGTTAATTAAATTATGATATGCCATTGACTGTAAGATGTATTCCCATATGAGAGGTGTTGAATGTGAAAATTATTATATATCTTACATTTATGAAATATGATAAATGACTTCTGGTGAGTCACTTAACATTTCTGGGGCTTTGTTTCCTTATGAAATAGACAGATATACCATTCATTCATTCACCCAATCACTCTTCTTTCCTGGTATAAACTGATACCCTTGCTACAGAGAGTTTCTTGAATCACAAACTTCCTTTTCCATCGCTGCTTCCATGGGAGGTCATTTTATTATTATTCTTCCACTCCCTACTTGTGCATAGGTTACGTGTTCTCAAACTCTTAGCACTAGAAAGGACCTACTGTAGTGTTTCCCTAGATGGAGTCTGTGGATGTATTCTTGGAAGTCCATCATGTCCATATGATATTTAGAAAGACTGTCATGTAAGTTAGGACCCTGTTTGGCTGGGATTACAGAAGGCTGCTTACCTGAGCTGCAGTACACTACTCGTCTCATATGCAAAAGGTTGGGAGTAGCAGCCAGGGTGTAGAAAAGCCATCAGGGACCCAGGTGGTTTCTTTCCCCTGCTCCACTGTTAGCATAATGGTCTTCCCCTTCCAGTTTGTCTCCTCGATTTGCCAGACCTCCAGATCTCATACTTACCTTTCAGGCAGGAAGAAAAGCAGAGGGTGAAGGGGTGAAGGACCTTCTCCTGGTGAGCCTCTACCTTTTCACTTCAAGAGGGACACCATCCCCAGAGACTTCTGCCTCCACCCCACTGGCCAGAACCATGTCTCACCACCACACCTGGCTGCTAGGAAGACTGAGAAACTGGATATTTCCAGTTAGATGCATTGCCATCCCACACAAAACTTGGGTTCTCCAAGTACTAAAGAATAGGAGAATGGATTTTGGATAGTGACTCGGTGTTTCTGCCACACATGTTTTCTTTAGATGATAATCTTTAAAATCTCCATAATAAAATCTTTTCCTGGATTTTGTTGATGACCAATCTAAAACCAATATAAAGCTAACAGAAATGATGAGTCTTTATAATTGTCACAGGTTAGCAAGAATAGAACAAGGACTGTCTTAGAATTTGAATGATGCCTTTGCCTTAATCTGAAGGCCAGATAATCTCACAGCTCAGTGAGAGAATGAAGTCTTGAGAGCTGGCGCAGGGAAAGCCCATGGAAAGGAGATTTGTTTAACTATGCTGTAGGAATTAATACCATGTCAGTGTTGGGAGCAAATAATTCTTTAGCAAAAAAAATCATGCATCATATTAAATTACCACTGTAATCTGTAATTTTAGTGGAACAGTAGACTACAAGTATCAGGAGTTTGTATGTCATTTTCTGGTTTATACATACTTAGGTAATATAATAACAATCACAATAATTTCAGCCAACACTGGGAGTTCTCAAAAATATTTTTTCTCCTTAAAAGAGTTATCACTTAATTTTGAGAAATAGTGGCATTTCTCAAAAATAGTAAGTAATAAATATTTATTTATTAAATAAGGATTGCTAGTACTTATTTAATCCCATTCTTTCATTTTAAGGATGGGAAAAGAGTCTCTGAGAAGGAAAGGGGTTTGCTCCAAGTGTGCCGAGCTACCTGATAATGAGCCTCAGTCTTTTAGCTTCCAGCAGCCCCAGTGCACCAATGGGTCAAATGCATCACTGGTTGTATCATAAAAATGATCAGCGCACCTGTCTGTCTTGAGCATTATCTGGTAAGCAATTTGAGTCTCATTCAGTTTGTAGTGCCAGTACTTGGATGATGACAGGTGTTATGTAAAGTTTGGAAACACTGACTGAAACTGGATTTTAATATTTCCATTTATCATTCTGTGTTTCTGATTCTCTACCATAACACCATAATTCCATTATCAGACAAATGGTGGAGATGCTGATAGCAGTGGCTAGGAGGGCAATGAGTAACCAGCCATCTTCAAAAGTCTTTGCTTTCTGCTTTTAGTCCTGAACTCATGGAGCTGTTACACTTAATATTTTGGCCTTGTCTGTGGTCTTAGCCATCTTAAGCATCCTTTGTAAGCCTTTCTGTGAAAGAAATTCCACCTCAATGACTCACAGGGACAGAGGTGTTCTCCCAGTCAGAGGTCAGATCAGGACCTTGCTTTCCTCATTTCATACCATGATTGAGATGGGACTCAGCTATTTGCTACGGTGGCTTGTCCCCACAGTGAGTGACTAGTTGGCTACATCCTGTAGACACGGCTTTTTGGCCTGGGTGTTGGGAGGGCTTGGGTGTGGTGCTTTCGAGAGAACAGAAGCTGTTATCCTTCAGCTCGACAGACTGCCATGAACAGACAGAAAGGCATGGAATGTTTGGCCCATGCTAGGCAGTTAATAATTATTTCATTAAATGAGTGAATTTAGATATGTGACCTAGACAGAAACAGACAAACATTTGCTTTATTTCTTTGATCAGGCTTAATAAATCTCTTTTTTTCCTTCATTTGACTAATTTTTAAATTGAAGTATAGTCGATTTACAGCGTTGTGTTAATTTCTGGTATACAGCACAGTGATTCAGTTTATATATGTGTGTGTGTGTGTGTGTGTGTGTGTGTATAGAGAGAGAGAGGGGCCTTTTCATATTTTTTTTCATTGTAGGCCATTAAAGGTATTGAATATATTTCCCTGTGCTATACCGTAGGACCTTGTTGTTAAGAATGTCTCTTATATTTGAGTTGTGTGTGTCTCCCCCAAATAGTTTTTAATGACTAAACCTGGTAGATAGGAAAAGGCAATTTTCCTGAGGCTGTAATCATGGCCAGACAGAATTAGGTGATACTAAGAGCAGACAGGCATTCTTCTGAGTGTCCCTAACGTGCTTATCCCCAGGGCCAGCTGCCTTCTTCATCTGGTGGTTCCGGGGCTCCAGATGGGGGGGTGTGGAGGCCCGAGGACACACACCCTGCTTCATGGTCCCGTGGAGGCCGACAGAAGTCTGATTTGCTCTATAACCAGCTGTAGTCACTGCCGGAATCTTCTTCATGGAGTGCTCCGATCCATGACAGGGGGGTGATAAACAGCTCCGTCGGGTGGATTAAATGGATGCAGGAAACAGTTTTTCTAGAGTGAAAGAAAGCGGTTTGGTTTCAAGACTTGGTTTGTCCTTTATGCTGTACACCAGAAGTTGACACATTGTAATTGACTATACTTCAGTTAAAACAATTACCACCACCAAAAAAAAAAAAAAAAAGACTTGGTTTGTCTTTTAACCCTGGTGGTTGTGATTTATCAAGATCCATCCAGTTCATCTCTCTGACTCCTTCCTATTTACCATTTTCTTCAGATCCTGACACTTCCCACAAAAGAGACACAACTTCCAAAAATGTTGATGTCATGTGGGAAAAATAAAACTATTTTGATCAGTGGAATTGTGGGGAGGAATGGAAATAAAGATAATTCATATTTTAAAAACTTTTTTTGTCAAATGTTTGAAAGTTTAAAATTTAGCAAGTTCGGGAACACAGACTTTCCCCTTACTTCCTGTACCCTGAGACTTTTGAACCATCTCTTGTTTTCAGTCTCTACAAGGGGTTAAGAAGGTGCCAGTGATCGATCACTCAGTGCCACACTTAGAGGCTGGTTTGGAGGGAGGAAAGGACCCACCAGCCTGGAGCAAGAGAATCTGACTTTTCATCATGATTCACATGATCAAAAGCTCACTTGTTTGTGATCACAATGAAGTCAAGAAGGTCCTCCCTCTACTGATGAATATTGAATGTGACTCATGCGTGTGCCAAGTAGATACTGAAGCTTTCATTTTGTCAGCCGTCCTTCAGAATGCCCTAGTTTCACAGTGTGATTTTGGTGAGATTAAACCATGAACATCTCAACTGAGCAGAGCATTACTTTTGGCTTAATCACACTTATAAACCGATCCCGAGTTGTGGGTCTGCTGCTTGGGCCAGAGGTCAGTGCACAATGGCATCAGTGACCAACAAGAATGATTGAGGGTTTTTTTTTTTGAATGAGGTTTTAATGACCTGTATGAGCTAGCTAATTGTGTAAGCCGCCCCTTGCTAAGATTCCACCATAGGATGACACCAAAGGACCGGTCCTTCCCCATCCAGCAGAGACCAGAAGTTGAAGGCTTGGATTTTAATACTTGTTCTTCTTCTTCTTTTTTAAATGGAGGTACTGGGGACTGAACCCAAGACCTCGTGCATGAGGCATGAGCTCTACCATTGAGCTATAGCTTCCCCCCAAGGCTTGGATTTTAGACCAAAAGTCAGCAAGAGGAAGTCACAGGCTGGCACAGAGTCCTTTTATCTCCTTTTGTAGAAACGAGGCCCCTCAGAGACATTAAAAGACCCAGAACTCCCCACTGAGAGCTGTCACGCATTGTCTCTCCAGGAAAGAGTAGCTGTGCTCATTAAAACCTACCCAGTCCTGATTTTAATGATCTTTTGCAGAATTTCAGGGTGGGTGGTATTAATACAAAACAGCACAATTTCTGACACAAGTGGCCATCTAAAATGTTTCCATTTTCTCCTGTTACCCCTCAATTTCTCATCTCTGAAAAGTTCCAAACATCTATCTTTAACCTTATAGTTTAATCCTTGCTCCAGCTCTCACCATGTCTCACTATATTTGTGTTTTTGTGGTCCTCTTTCTGTCCATTTTATCTGTCTGCATACTCTCTCCCCTTCCCTCTTCCTCTCCTTTCTCCCTCTGCCTTTTCCACCTTCCTCCCTCCACCTCTTCCACCTTCCTCCCTCCGCCTCTTCCACCTTCCTCCCTCCCTCAGTTCTGCCCTCAATTTTTATGCTTCCCTTTCTTTCTCTCCATCTCTGTCTCTCTGTGTCTTTGCAAAGCTCTATGCAGGTGTCCTCATGCCTGATGATTTCACACGCCTCAGTTCCCAATGCCCACCTCATCCTCCTCAGATGCCCTGTTCCCATGATGTCCTTAACATTTCAGGGCCAAATACTCACCACAAGGAAGCCAAATCCAACAAAGAGTGCAACAGTGACAGCAGTGGCAGCCAGGGAAATGAGGATGATTCTGATGGGTGTCTGGAGCCCAGGGGGTTTCACTGCCGTCACTGAATCTGTTTCCTCTGGGTGAGTGTCTGGGTGTTTAGTGGTGTAATTTTCTGTGTCTTCAGTCCCTGGTTCTGAAGTGGTGTAGTCCTCCATGGTCCCTAGGTCTGCTGTGGTGTAATCCTTTGTGGTCCCCAGGTCTGCTGTGGTGCGGTCCTCTCTGGTCCCCGGGTCTGCTGTGGTGCGGTCCTCTGTGGTCCCCGGGTCTGCTGTGGTGCGGTCCTCTGTGGTCCCTGGGTCTGCTGTTGTGTGGTCCTCTGTGGTCCCCGGGTCTGCTGTTGTGTGGTCCTCTGTGGTCCCCGGGTCTGCTGTGGTGTGGTCCTCTGTGGTCCCCAGATCTGTGGTGGTGTAGTCCTCTGTGGTCCATGGGTTGGCTGTGATGTAGTCCTCTGTGGTCCCCTGGGTCTGTGGTGGTGTAGTCCTCCATGGTCCATAGGTCTGCTGTGTTGTCCTCCATGGTCCCCAGGACTGCTGTGGTGTAGTCCTCTGTGATCCCTGGGTCTTCAGTGGTGTGGTCCTCCCTGGTTCCTGAATTCAAGGTGGTGTAGTCTGCAGAGGCTCCTGTGTCTGTAGTGAAAGTCTTTTTTAATGTGGATCATTGTTGCCCATCATCATCTGTTCTGCTTAATATTTTTCATAACTTTCTTGCCCATTCAAATGATATCTTTCCCCATATAATGTGGTTGGACTTATTTGAGTTAAGTATCATCTGATATTTTAGATTTAATTCTGATTAAACATATTCCACAAGATGCCCTACAATATGGAGTATCCAGATCTAATTCATGTCCTTAGACGGTCTTCTCATCCAGCCTTTGATTCTCCCTTTGTGGTTCTGGTCTCTTTGTAGACCTCACCTCCCCCTGCATTGGTATGTCAGCAATCCAGCCATTCTGACTCCACATTTGTATGTGTTGCCTCTCATCCAGGTATGCCTGGGTCTCTGGTAGACAAGTGAGGCAGGAGCTATGACTTTTATTAGAGATTAAATTCAGGTCATGGGTTGGTATATGATTTAGAATGAGGCATCTCCCGGGTTGGATCCGGGGCAGAAGTGGCAAGATCGAAGGCAGGTAATAGTCAAGGTGGTCTGAGGGTAGGAGGAGTCATAGGGGTGGTGAGTGTGGTTTGGCTGGGGTTGACAGCAGCACTGAGTTGGATATAAGTAGAAGGAAGAAATTAATCTTTTCCCCTCCCACCACCCCCACCTGCAGGGCATCAGGACTGAGAGTATTTACTCTCATCAATAAATGCAGCCTAAATGGCATAAATTTTAGAGTCTTGGGTTCCTTTGCCCCAGAGAGTTCATCCTACCTGCTGCTGATTCCCCCAAATTCCTCAAATAAGGCTCAAATCTTTCATTTCTTAAGGAAAGTTGAAATACAGGAACTTAAAGTCTAAACAATCAAAATCAGAGAATTTCCTTAAGAGAAGATGCTGGAAAGAGATGAACAGGAACCCTGGGAACACTGCTTCCCTGTGATAGGGAGTTTGGGGCAGGTCACTAGGTCCAGAGATCCCCAAGGTCCTCTCATCTATCCTGTTAACTTCACTCAAGACTGACCCTGCCTGAGTCCTAAGAGGACCTTCTCCAAGGATCCCGATCCCCACATCTCCAGACCCTGGGGAACTTTTGTGCCCTTTTCTCCAAAAAATAGTTCACTCACCCAGTTCTAAACACCCAAAGAGAAGCAGCAGCAGAAGAGATGTGGCAGGGCATTTTCTTGTTTTCATCGCTAGAGAATCCACATGGGCTGGAAGCCAGGATGTCTTTTCCTCCCTCCTCGCTACTTTTTCTGTCTTCCCTTCTCCTTAAGTGCACAGTGGCTGTGACGTTTATATGAGCTGCTGCTAAAGGAATCAGGAAGCCTGGGTCTTCTTTCCTTCTTTCAGGGAGGAACAACCGCTCCTCTACTCTCTGTCAATCAAGGGAATAAGAATCTGTTAGAGAGGAGTGACAGGGCGGAAGAGAGATGTCACAGATGCAAGAAGAGGATCTTGGCTCTGGTCCAGGGCCCAGAGTTGAGCGGTAACAGGGGATCAAGCTTGTCATCATGGGTGGCATCACTTTCAGATGCAGAGCCCTAGGCAAAAGCTGTCCGCCACACCATGTCTCAGTGCTCGGAGAAGGGCTTGAACTTCCTTTTCTGCAGGTGGGCGTGGGAAGGTTGGGGTGACTAAGGAGGGTACATGCCAGGTCTGCCTGGGGGACAGTGCATGGTAAGAGGAGAACTAGATGTCAGAGGGCATAGAGCATCTTAGTCCTTAACAGGAAGGAGCATTGATGAGGGAGGTGGAAACACTCAATCTCTTTATCTTAAAACCACCCTCTTCTCTCAGTCATCCACCAAAGTCTTTTTCAGTGGCTCATCTCCCACCTGCAGTTTTACCTCCTTGCTCCTATTACTTGATTGCCCTCACCCCACTAAGCTTCCCTCAGTGACTAGATGAAATTAGTTCACCTCCAAGGGTCCCATTGGGCTTGGAATGAGAAAACCCATGCTCCTTCCTTTTCTGACTCCCATCCCGGCCTCATTCAACATTGTCCAGAAAATTATAGCAGCTTGTTCTCATTCAGAGGCAGGAAGTTTCCTGCCCTTTGGGGGGCATCTCTTTCCCAGTGTCATCCTAAGTGGAATAGGAACTAGGGATTACAGGAAGGCTGGGACAATGTTCCCGTCTCTGATGGCAGCTGATTTTATGAAAGCCAATTTAATGAATGGCCAGTATACCAAACTTAATTGATTACTTCAACTACTAACTTTATTTGAATGGATTAAATATTTTTGAGAAAAATATTTAGATAAATTAAGAAGGTATTTGTTGGGGGGGAGGATATAGCTCAGTGGTAGAGTACGTGCTGAGCTTGCATGAGGTCCTCGTTCAACCCGCAGTACCTCCATTAAAAAAATCATAAATATACCTAATTACCTCCCCCACCAAAAAAAAAAAGAAAAGAAGATATTTGTATATAGTTAATATAACTGATGAATATATTTTAAAGGATTATCTAAGGAAAAGATACTATTTTTTAAGGCAAGGGCTCAATTTGCATATAGTAAAATTCACTTTTGTTCATGTAGAGATCTATGAAGCATTTTTTGTTTTGCTTTGTTTTAAAATTTTTTATTTTGAGATAATTTTAGATTATAGGAGAGTTGTAGACATAGTACAGAGAAATCACATAATTTATACAATTACAGAAACTAAGAAATTAACATTATATAACACTATTCACTAAACTACTGAATTTATTGAGATTTCACATGTTTTTCCATTGATGTCCTTTTTCTACTCCAGGATCCAATCCAGGATTCCATGTGGCGTTTACTCATAGGTCTTCCTGGTCTCCTCCAACCTGTGACAGTTCCTCTGTCTTTGTCTTTCCTAATATTGACGCATTTGAAGAGTATCGACATTTTGTAGAATGTCGCAAAACTTTGATTTGTTTGATTTCTTGTAGCTAACTTGATTTATGATTTAATCAGGGTCATAGATTATTGGGAATGTTACCGCAGAGATGATGTGCCTTCTCAGTGTTCTGCATCAGGGAGCTGATGGGATCAGTGAGCCTTATTCCTCATGATGTTAATCTTGATCACTCAGTGAAGGTGACGTCTGAAAGAATTCTCCACTGTAAACTTACTATTTGTCACCTTGTAATTACTAAATATTTTGTGGGGGGAAGATATTTTGAGACTCTACAAATATCCTATTTTTGCTTAAACTTTCACTCACTGCCTTTGGTGCATCTTACCCGCAGCAGTTATTATTGTGGGTTGGTAGTGGTGTCCCTCCTTCCTTCTATATTTAGGAATTGGGATTCTTCTGTAACGAAAGTTGTACCCTCTCCCAATTTTTTTATTTGGTTATTTAAATTAGTATGGACGCATAGGCCTTTACTGTGTTCTGTGAGTTGTGATCCAGTATTACCGCTATTTATTTTGTTGCTCAAACCTTGGCTATTGGAAGCTCTTTCAGTTTGGCTCCAGTGCCTTTTTAATATTCTGCATCCTCTTTTTAAAGTACTTTCTTCCATTTTGACATCAGAAGATGCTCTATGCTCATTTTGAATTTTCTCTGCCCAGGCCTTGGAATCAACCATTTCTTCACACATCTCTGATTTTTTTTATCAGAGAATAGTATTCAGAAACAAGATCTGGGCACTAGGTGTGCTCATTGCTGATGAAGTGTTGCTGCTTTTTGTCCCCCACAGAAATTAGAGCTAGGAAATATATGTTAAGTATACTAACTCATGCATAAACACATCCCTGTATTTATTTCTGTAATTATCTATCTGTATGTGTGTATTAAACAAAAGCATGAGTCCATTTTGATACCTTCAACTCCAGTCCAGCAACACAGTTCATTCTAGCTTCTCCCTTTCCCTTATTTGTAACTTCTTCCTCTGACATGGCTCCTAATATCTATAATATTTCCACTTATTTGTTCACCCTTAGTAAACCAATAGTGGCTTCAGAATTGCTAATCCATACCTATGTGAGAAACAAAGTTACCAACTAGACTACAGTGTTTGTGCACATGCTTTCTGTCTTTAGTCTTACAGTCAAAACACTGGTTTTCAAAGCTACTTAGGATGACATCTTCTTCCCCATCCCCTTCAGAGTGATTATGTGATTCATTGTCAGCTCTGCATTCCACCTCTGCCCCTACATCTCTGTTGATTTGCTAAATTTCCATACAGTAAAATTCACTCTCTGTAGTTTACAGTTCTCTGGATTTTGATAAATCATGTACTCACCACACGGAATCTGCATCATCTCCCAAAGCCTTCTCGTGCTGTCCCTTTATAGCCCGCTCTTCCCTTGAACCCCAGATCCTGGCAAAACAGATCTGGTCTCTGCCCCTGTAATTTTACTGTCTCCAGTATGTCATCTGAATGGAATTATACAGTCTGTAGCCTTATTGTTTTGAAGATAATCTATGTATTATTCATAGATGATATCAGTAATTATTCATCAGTCAAGAATAAACTATTTTTCTGGTATATATTCTTGAATATATTCTTTCATATGAAAATTTTAATAAATATATTTTTAAGTATGTTCTTGATTATAAAACATATCATAATCAAGAAGATATTCCCAGTATCCCCTCTGCCTGTCCCCCAGTCTCTAGCTGCAGCGGGAGGGAGACAAATTGATTATTATTTAAAGAAAATAAGATAATTTAAAAAAAAAGAATTCAGAGAATTAATTTTAAAAGAATTGTTTTGAGTTTTTAGATGAGGACCTTCTTAAAACAAACTTTAAATAAAAATCACCATGGATTCTGGAGATGAAGTTTTTTTTAACTGCTGGGCAAAAGCCTGTTGAAATCCACTTTTCTTCTTGATTCCTATTTCCATGTTTTTGTGGTCTTGGATTTGTTTGTTTGTTTGTTTGCTGAGACATTACAAAGGCCTCTGGATTCCCATCCTTATGAGATTCCAGCCTCTACTTTCTACCCAGGTGATCAGAGTGTTCTCCCTTGGAAAAAAATTTGTCCTGCAACATTGTAAAATGAACTGTTGGCTTCCTGTTGTCACGGGTTCTCGCCTCCTTGGTATGGCATTCAAGGACACACAGGTCACCCTCTAGTCACATCTCCCTGTGCAGTCCCATCAAGTCCCATAACTCTTTTGACTATTCCTGTCCATGTCACACCTTGTTGTGCACAAAGTTTTCACTTGCCTGGCATTTCCCCTTCTCCTCCTTGTCAATGCCTGCTAAGTCTGTAATCCCCATCAAAGTCATCTTCTGTGTGAGTCAGCCCCTCTTCCCCTTGGTCAAGTTACATGCTTCCTCCTTGGGCACTTCAGTTTGTGTTGCTTGATGCATTGGCCTAAACTTATTTGTCTACAAATCTGTTTCCTTTACCAAACTGTGACCCACGCATTCATCCTTGTTACCCCAACTTCTCAGGGCCTGGTGCCAAGCAGGTCAGTGCTCTGGAATTATGGTGAATGGATGAATGAAGAAATGAGTGAGAAATGTGATCATTGTTTTAAGATAAAGGACTAGAGACTATTAAAGTTGAAGGGGAGATAACTGATAGACTAGTCAATGCCTTCAAGAATAAAACCATATATAGTAAAAAAAAAAAAAGACAAAACCCTTTTTTTATGATTTAAATGTACAGTTTAATGAATTGTTCTAAAATAAAAATCCATGTAACCACTACCCAGGCCAAAAAACAAAAACCGGTCACTGCCCTAGAAACCTCTATGTGCCCCTTCAATTACGCGCCTCTCCATCCCTGCTAAAGGTAGCCGTTGTCCTGACTTTTACAGTAATCGCTACATCAATGTTCTTTGTACTAATGGTACCTAGCTTCGCATTCCTGAACACTCCAGTTTAATTTTGCCTGGTTTTGAGGTTTCTATTTATAAAGTGAAAATTTTTTGACCTCTTATATCTGACTTCTTTAGCTTAAAAATTAGCTTTGAAGCATTTATCCATATTGTTGTGTAACAAAAAAAACCCTATTAAATATAACTAAAAACATTTTTTTCTGAAGTAAACTTGTAAACAGTGAAATGCACAGATCTTAAGTATTCAGTTAGATAAGTTTTTTACCTGAGAGCTTGTTTGGAGGTTCTAGCAGGAGAGCGCAGCTACTCGTATACCCTTGACCGAGGAGAACAGTCCTCCTCTATCGGGGATGGTCGTCGTCTTTGATCGACCGACCGAGTGCTCAGCTTGGGGAGGGACGCACATGAAGCAGTGAGGGAGGAAGGGGACACCCACCTAGCCAGCCAGATCAGCTGAATCAACCCTGGCGATCAATGGAATACCAGATGTTGCAGCCTGATTGCCCTCACATCCTAGGTAAGTTTTTAAAAATTTTTTAGCAGATAAGGCTTTTTTTTTTTTAAAGCCCAATATTTTATCCTTGTTTTCTTTGGAGGTGGGGAAGGGAA